GAGAGAGAGAGAGAGAGAGAGAGAGAGAGAGAGCGAGAGCGAGAGAGTAGACAGCCGTTTAAAATCTTTGACCAGCCTCCGATCATGCTGCCGCTACGTAGTTATGACTTATATCCGGCATCTGCGCATGTTCGCACCATTCGAACGCCAATGCGGTCCGGTAACAGTCGTTGTCACGGCAGAGCGGTTGCGTGGGAGGGTGGGGCTGATTTCTCACGGAAAACAAATCTCAATTAATTTAATTGGTGTGCTTTGGTTAGAAAGTAGAGATGTCACGGTATAAACCCGCGCGAGCGTCAGTCGGTGAGAAATTTTCACGGATTATTCGTTAATTATTTTCCTGAATCAATAGGTCTTCTCTCGGGAAATACTCCCCCCCCCCGAGTAAAATCTCAGGTTGCGCGTCGGTAAGCGTGATGCGTGTAACAGCAATGGATGTTTTCAGCTCTAATTCTTTTCCCTTAAACAACACTATCGCTGCGTTAAAAATCTCAAGCTTGAAGTTTTCAACGGTGAAAATGTCAAATGAAGATCACTCGCGGCGCGGGTGGCTTGACAAGACGAGTGTTGTCTGTTGCATTTGCGTCTTGCAGTTACTTGTTTGCTACGCGAAAGCGACTAATTTATTTCTGATAATATATCCTGCGTGCGCGAGCACCGACACATTAAGGAAACGCATTTGCAACACAATTTGAATATTTTCGCATTTGATCTAGTCATGCTTTCACAGTGTTTTTTTCTCAGCTACGCTGAAACGGGTTTGCCGAAAGTAGTTTACGCAGGGTTTCTTCGAAGACAGCGAATTTACGAATTTGGTATTCGCAGACAGATTCGGGTAATCTCACACGAATCTTCAACTACCGTCCGTATATACATACATGTACATTATACGTATACTGTATAATACATGCTTAAGAAAGAAATCATAACGCTATGGGAAAAATACACGTTATTTATTATTCAACGCGTATATTCATCACAAAGTTGTGAAATTCGTTTACAGCATGTGTCGCCCAAGTTACGTGTGCAATTAGCCAATCAACATAATAGTCGCATGTTTGTGTTAGAGTCTATTTCGCGCTCGCGTAAGCCTGTTGTTGTCGTTGTCGTGGTTATTCGCGCGCGTCATTGCATCAAGTTCGTGTGTATCCACACGCTAAAAGGCCTCTCGCGAATATATATATACATATATATATATAAAGTTGTTCAGTCGAATTAGTCCGTACTCGCATAACTAGATAACTCCGCAGCTAGAGGGAAACTAAAGATATTTTCAGAATCAGCACGTCTGGGAGGTGGTTCTGGCTGAAACAAAAATTTCAAAAAGTTAAAAAGTTAAAAATTGATAAAAATTCTATTCATCAATAGATGGAGTATGTACTCTTTAGTATGTATGATTTTTTATTTTTTATTTTTTATTTTTAATGGCTTTTATCTTTTGATTTCTTATTATTTTTCACTGTTTGGGATGGGATGGGATAGCATGCGATGGGATGGGATGGCATGGCATGGCATGGGCATGGCATGGCATGGCATTGGATGGGATGGGATGGGATGGGATGGGATGGGATGGGATGGGATGGGATGG